GTTTTGCTGTGTTTCTTTGTGAAGAGGATGGAACCCAGGAGGGAAAAGTGGCTGCAGGAGGGGCTGTGTGCCACCATTTTGCAGCCCTGCCAGGTCACTCCATCCCAAGTCTCAGGCTCAGCAAGTGGGAGCTGAATAAACACAGAAATATGTATTTCCTTCTTTCGGTCAGAAATAGACACTCTCCACCTCGGCCAAACAAATCCCGTCCTCCCTTAAGACAAGATTCAAGGAGTGTTTCTAGCTCAGGAGCAGAGAACTGAGGTAGACATTTCTGCTATGAAGATGTTCACAGAAGGTGCAGCAATGCCAACAACTTGGCCATCGACCTGAATTAGTCTTAACCACGGCTATGTTCGACACTCTGATCTAAATCTCCTTTTCTACATGAACCAAGTCTCCCCGAGGGTTTTCAACATGGGCAGCCAGAGCAAGTCCAGCTGCCAAGCGGGCAACACGTCTAACTCCCAATGTCCAACTCCAAACACTCTGTGGCGTGCAATATGAAGCACACCAGAACAGAGCAGGGACCAAGCTGCTCCTCAGTCTGTGAACCACGGCTTTACAAAGCTGCCAAGCCCTGCAAGTGGTGAGAAGTTACCCAGCGGTCCCCTCTGACATCTGATGAGTGGAACATAAAGCATACGGTACCCCTGGACACGATAAAAGCGGGTATGAACTGTCACCTCCCTGCTTATGAACACACCATCAGCTCCACAACACTACAGACATTGCGGTGGGGACCGTTCCAGCCTGTGAGTAGCAGCAGATGCTCTCCAGCGTCAGCCCAGGTCGGGCATCACTCCCCACCTCCATTGCACTGGTTGTGGAGAGGAAGAAACAAGGGCTAGCAAGTTTAGGAGGGCCCAAAGCCCAAACACCCAAATGATTCTGCGCATCTGACTTCTGTTAAAATCTGTGGGAACAGGATGCTCAACTCGCCCTTTGGATCTATGCCCAAGGTTTTCAGGACTCCAGCTAGAAAATCAGGAGGTTAGGAGGCAGAAGGACTCGGCACGGGTCCTGCTTCTCCTCCTCCACACGAGCAGCCCACCAGTCCTGGGAGGTGCTGCCATATGCTCGACCTGCCTTCCCGAATCCATTACGCTTGAGTGATGACAGGCTAAAGCCCTTTCCTTGAACCTGCACACAGCTGAACAACCACGCACCAAAGCTGAGCCACTTCAGAATCGGTTCCTCAGTGACAACAGTCCTCCTGAGCTGAGATTTGTGTGGTAAAGGGGCACGTTCCTACACCAGGAGACCTGCTGGGTCAGGCAGAAGCTTCCCTTAGGTCTGGGAGGGAGTTTTTGTTCATGAAATCACAGTACTAAGCGCAAGGGCACTGCAAAAGTTCCCTCTGTCACGAGCCAAGGCTTTCAGCGCCAGCAACAGCCCATGCCTCCTCTCCCCATTAGCTCCAGAGTTCCCAGTTTAAAAGCCATGTGTCTGTCCTTGGGAGCGAAGCACATTCAAGAATAGAACTGCTGGGTTGTGTGTACAGCACAATCAGCCAAAAGGCTGTGTTCGAGTCCAGTGGACACAATGGCTCCTATTTTGCCATGTAAATGGCTAATTCCATGCCAAACATTTGTTCCGTTGGAGAATCACTAGCTCATCATCTTCCCCATTAGCGAAATTTCTAAACCGGTGTTGCACCGAGAGATGTATTTGTTATGCATACAAACACCCCATAAGGGTTTTAACATGGGACTTAAATAGCTGCAAGCAAAGGAAAAGACGTGTCTGCAAGCGAGCTAAGACAATTACAAAACCAGGCCTCAGACCATAAACTCCAAGGCCCTCACATGCTCTCCGCCCCATTGTCTGCCTGAACTGTTAAAGACTCTTACCTCTGGTTCTACTGTCTTCCCAACACTATCTGCAATTCACATTTTTCCTCCTGGAACAGGGGTCCCTAGCTCTGCCTGGGTGCAGGAACCTTTGCCTCAGATGCACTTTGGGTTCAGAAATGGCAATCGGCACACAGGATGCCGGGGTGGACTTGCATACTAATGAGACAGATGGGAAGGCTGAGCACAGTCAGCCAGGAACCAAGCCATGACACAGAAGGGCACGAGGATGCTCACAAACATCACTGCCCCCTGGCAGGCTTTGCCTTCTCCAACTAACCTGATGGCATAATCCTAAAGTCAATCCCACCCAACCCAAAAAGGACTCCAAAAGTCAACCGTTAACCACCTCCTGGAGCAGAGGCTGTGAGTACTCATCTGACAGGAGAGTGTCTACTCCCACCGAAAGCAAGAATGTGGGTCAACTTCTTTTTTAAAGCATTTTTCCCCATTGATAATCGGTGCAACAGAGGCCAGGAAGAGACGCACTGATATCGGCTACCTCTTGGACAGCACGTTGGGCAGACAACTCATGCTGACCCCAAAGATGCAGCAGCATTGATGAGCCAAGGAGGATCTCACCTTTCAGTCATGAGCAAAACCAGACCCATCTCCAAGACCCCTTCCAAGAAGCCAGAAACCCCCACCACAAGCCCCCACGAGAGATTTACACTGTAAGAAGAGATAAATGAGGGGTTACTTACTATAGGAGTAGCTGCTAACTTCAGATATTGCTGGTGAATGGGAAACCTTGAGCTGATTTTTGACTTTTAACCCCACCTCCATCTTCTTCACTTTGGCAGCCACTTTGTTTTTACCTTCCTTGGTGTTTTTCAGTGACAGTCCCAGGTTCTTAGCCAGGCTCTTCTTCTCCTCCTTGCTTGGCAGAGCCTCGTGGGGTGGGAGGTACCTGCTGCCACCTCCACTAGTTTTCGGCTTTCCCCCAGAGCTGTCGGCAAACTTGAAGGGGGATTTGAGCTTGTCTTGTTTGGTGAGCGACAGGGCCTTGTCAAGCTTGCTGGCCAGCTGCTCCTGATCCGATGGCACCTTCTTCTTTTTGAGCTTTAACTGCTAAGGTGAAAGGAAGAGACACAGGTGAATACAGAGCAGGTATCATGCCAGACCTGAGGGATTTTACTAGCCCTTGTTAACAGTCTCTCATACACACTAGTTAATAAGGCCTCAAAATCACGGTCTTAAGGTCCAGTTGCCATAACCCACCATGCTGCTAGGGAGGAAGAAGAGGAAGATGTCAGCAAACAGCACAGCTTTACCCTTATCGAGCGCTACAAAATCGCAAGACTAACTTAGAAATATTGAATTTTCTTCCAAAAGAAATCTGTTCACAGAACATGTTTTGGACTTCTTTTTTCTCAACACCTTCTGTTTTTTTGGATATGTTTGGGTTGGTTTTACAAGCTTTTCTCTAAATCACAAGGATTAAAAATCTTCTTTACCCAAAACCCCAGCCAAATAAATACGGATTTCCACATATCAACCAGCCCCAGCGGCTGGGATGCCAAAAAGACCCAAATACCTCTCAGCAAGCGCATCAGCACCACTGCATTACAGCCAGCACTGTTACATCCTTTTCAGCACTTCCTTGCTTCTTGAAATAAGTAAATATACTTTACATGTGCTACAGCTAGATAACAGCAGCTGTAACTCAGTCCTCTGCCTGGATGTATTTTGGATTTCATCAGCAGCTTAAAGCTCCAGTAAATATCTCATTGCCTCAACAGGAGCATTTAAAATAGCGAGGTTGCGCTCCCTTTCCTCCCTCGCTTTGGGAAGTCCATTCCACTCCACTGTCTCGACAAGCAAAAAGTGCAGACAAGCACCGCTCTGGATTCAGAGCTAGTGCAACGCTGCAACGCTCCGGCTGGCTTGAAGGCACTTGCCTCTCTGCTGCCGACCAGAGAGGTCCAACCTCCTCAGCCAACGTTAGCCTTTGGGAACACCCCTCTGCTGCACAGAGAGTCCTCTCATCAAGAGCCTCTAAACCCACGTGAACTGAGAGCAGACCCTCTAAGATCAGGAGTCATCCAGTGCAAGCCAACACTAGCAAAGCAGGAGGAAAGAGATGTGCTTTTGGCCCATGGCGGCATGTTCCCCATGAGGGCACTGACCTCATTTGAGAAGCTGGGAGCCACATCGTGCTCTTCCCAGCTCTGGTTCCTCCCTTTCATCTTGCCACTGCCGCTCTCCACATCCTCGTCCTCCTCCGGGAGGGCCCCTTTGTGCCTCTTCTTCATGCCCTCGCCAGTCTCAGAGTCTTCGGAGAGCAGCAAGGACTTGCTCAGTCTGCAAGCCAAGCACAGGACGCGTCAAGGTGGGGCGCTTTCCTCCCTGTGATCCACACCAAGCTCAAAAGTAAGGTTAAATGCCTCCTAGGACAGTGGGGATCCTCAGCTGGAGGAGGAGTCAAGTCCACTGGGAAGTGACAGCGGTTTGGGCAAGTTTTTCCACCAAACAGGAGAGCCAAGGAGCCCTTCTTGCACACTCCTGGCCACCAGCACAGATGAGGGTGGGTGAATCAAAGACCTGCAAGGTGGTCTCTGAAAGAAAGTATTTGGTGTCTCAAGTAACAGCCACCGAAAAGTGCCTGATTTGGTACAGAGCAGCAGAGGAAAGGACAGACAGCAGACCTGGCCCTGTAGGTCTTTTCCCACCTCTACTTTTCATGGACTCTGTAGGTGCGGAGAGAGATTCCTGAGACCCAGGGAGGTGCCTCACTGCTCAGATACTTGCTCGGGTTATGAGCAAGGAGGTGGTAAGGAACCGCCACACAAGGTGACACACAGCGACGAGGGCACTGCAGGGACTGGCTCGCTCAAAGGTCAGGCAATCTGCTTTACAAGCCTGGCCCCTCTGCGAGAGGCATTTGTGATCTACGTCTTCGGTCTCGCTTTGGGATTTGGGGGGAAAGGAAAGGGTAAATAAGTAATAATAAATAAATAAAAAAAAAGTAGGTGAGACTATAAGCCCATCTTTCACTGCTCCCCAGCTGTCTCCAGTAACTACCTGATGGATAATCAGTCAACACCTCAAGACCTCCACCAAGCCTCCACTAAAAGCTCTAATATGCCGCCTCCTTCACGCTAAGCCTGCTGGCCCAGGTCGTACCACCACCACAAAGCCACCGACCCGGGGCACCCTCTTCAGCTTAGGCATTTCCCCTCCCCTCCATCCTCTCTGCTGACCTCCACACACAGCTAAACCACCACCTCAAGCCCTGGACGTTGGCTCAGGGTGCATCTCCATCTCCCACACCGGGCTGCTCAAGCATTCCTGTAATGCGGGGACATGCAACACGACCATGCATGCACACATGCGCATCTCCAGCCACCTCTGGATACCTCCAGCCTGTCCAGCCATCCAAACGTGACAATCAAAACCAGAGCCACCAAGAGGACAGATTTTCAGAAGCGCATGGTCAGTGGGAGCTGGGCACCTGCATCTAATTTGTAGTCTTGAAAGGATATTTGCAAAAATACATAGCACGTAGGGAGGCAGCTGGGAGGTGCCTTCCCATCGGAGAGACTTGGCCATCCACGCATGGTTAGATGGCCAACGGTGGTGAGATCCAGCCATCCAAACAAGAGCAGCTGGACTTGCCAAAGAGAAAAAAGCAGAAGAGAGGATGATCCAGACACTTGAAAGAGAGAGGTCAGGCGAAACCAACTCCCACTGATTAAGGGAACAGAGATGAAGACAGCAGAAACACAGCAGAAAGGCCCTGCAAGTAGATAACCTGGAGTAGCCCTGTCCTTCCAGTTTTTGCCATCAACATCCCTCCAACTAGCTCTACAGCACCAGCTTGCACCGTCCGCTCTCCTGAAAACGCACGAGGACGCGCTCCCCGACGCCAAGAGCTCACCTACAGGTCCCTGCCCAGCTGGCTGCTCCGTATCACCTCACCACGGCTCAACTCAGCCTGTCCTGCTTGCACCCAACACTACAGACCCGTGCTCTACCAGTGGGGAGGGAGGACCCTGGCACCGTATTCCCACTGTAAGGACACACTCACGTTAAATGCACACGCTTCCGCAACACCACTGCTGCCAGGGACCGGCCTGCCGACACAACGCCACGGCGAGCCCCCGCTGCATCCGAGATGCTCTCCCCAAGTAAGACCCTGGTGTAGCGACCCTGCCATTTTCCCGTCTTCCCCAAATTCCAGCCTTACTTTCCACTCTTGCTGTCACTCTTCCCTCTCTCCTTAATGGGTGACAGAGCGCTTGATCCAAGTTTCCTCTTCCTGGGCCTTCCAGGGCCTCTTCTCGCCAAGCTTCTACTTTTCTCGTCATGCTTTTCCCTTTAAAAAAACCACACGCTTCACTGTTAACCAAGGCAACAAAAAAAAAAAAAAAAAAGGCAAAGAAAAAAAAAAAAAGCAAAAGCAAATTTTGCAACCAAAAAGCAAAACAAACAGGAAAAAAAAAAATAAAGCAAATAAATCCAAAAAGAAGAAAAAGGGGAAAAAATTAAAAGAAAGCAAGCAAGAACGGGAGCCAACCCAGAACCTTCGCCTGTCACCAAACTGCTAAACTGAGCTGCTGAAGCCAAGGTTGTCTCTAATACGGTCTCCCAGCTGCATTCACCAGTGATCAGGTTGTCATGTCACATAGCCTAGGAGTGCTCTGTGCAAAGCTCTGGCGGGCCGTACCAGGAGGAGAGGAGAGGAGACAGGGAGGGATGGAGGGCTGTTTTCTCTCCCAGACCAAGAGGCAGTGAAAGTGCCCAGCTGGAAAAAAAAAAAAAGACCGAGTGAGCAGCCTGCAACTTACTCGGAGTCCCTGCGGCGCTGCAGCTTCACCAGCTCCCGCTGCTTCTCCTTGTATCGCCGCTGCAGCTCCGCCAGCCTCATCCTGTAGTCCAGCTCCATCGCATCCATGTTCTCGATGGCCGACTTGATGGAGTACATCTAGGGTGGGGAGGCAAGAGGGGGCAAGAAGGTCAGCACATGTCCAGGCCCTCACCTAGGCTGGGGTGCTGCACACTGGGGTGCCCTTGCAATGGCCAAGATCTGCAGCCTGGCAGGGAAGCCCTCCATGCTTACAGCGGAGCAGAGCACCCTTGCCCACAACATGCACAGCTCTGGAGAGGTTCCCAAGCCAAACCAGCCAAGCAAAGATGTTCTGTGGCTCATGCATGGGATGGTACTAGTTTTGAGGGAGAGCAACCCCAGGAAAGAACCTGCAGGATAAAATACACCTATGGAGTCTCTTTTCCATTATTTAAACAGACAGATCAAAATATTCCCTGTCTTGGAACACTTAACTTGCTAGGTACAAAATAATTTGTCAGTCTCTCCCACAGGGAAGAGCCAGCAAAGAAAAAAGAACGAAGAAAAACCCTCCTGCCAATATCTTTATTTATTTAAACCCCCCCACCAAAGCAGGAACATACGAGTTCCTACTGGCTTTGTATTACGAACAGCACTTCTAGGGCTGCCGAGGGTCCTGCTCAATTCAACGGTGTTGATTCACCAACAAGGGAGGGAGCCAAATCGCACCACACTGACTCCTGCCCAGCTACGTACGCGATGTGAGGGAAGCACTGGCTCGCTCTGCGGAACGCAGAAGGGCAGCACAAGCCGGGTGGAAACTGGGGCTGGAAGAGCAAGCTGCGGTGAGGGGATGCGCTGCGGCTTTTTGGGCTCAGGCACGCTAAGAGCTACTTACGGGTTCATCTTTCTTCTGCATCCAGCTGTACTTTTTGTTGGGATTCAGCTCTCGAGGCAGCCGGATGGTTTTCAGACTTTCCATAAAGGGGGTGGAAAGTACTTCCATGAGCATGTGGGTGCTGGCAGCCAGCAAACTCTCCAGCGTTGGCCGAACAGGGAAACTCTCTGGACCTGCTGGGAAGGACAGAAAAAAAAAAAGCTACAGAGGTTCACATTCCAAGCCTGCTCCTCCAGCAGGCACAAGGAGAGGCTGATGTCCCTTTCTGGCCCATGACAGCTCAAGGAGCCGCCCAGCCACCCTCTTGAGATCTCCTGTTGTACCCAGCCATGGTGCAACTGGCAGTTCCCATCACGTCTCGCCTTAGGAAGTTACTGGAAGGTGAGATCTTTTCAGGACCTGCCAAGCTCTTGGAAAGCATCATCTGGAGCTACTGGGGCCTCTTGTGCCAAACCCCGACAGACTGTAGACTCAGTGCCTGCCAGAAGGGTGTTACCCTGGCAGCCCTCAGCAAGTGGGGCTCTGTTTCCGCTACTCATACCACGAACCGTCTAGACATGGCAAGGGCCTTTGGAAGGGGAGCCAGTACAAAAGCCACACGTAGCTCAGCCTACTGCAAGAAAAACCCTGCTCCAACCCCATCCAAAGTACCAGCCGCTCCTGCAACCCAGGGCAATGCTCTCCTTGCTGCCTGGCTGAGATTGCAAGAGATCCCACCTGTGCCTCTGCTCCCCTGCCTGCACAGAGAGTGCAGGAACCACATGCAGGGAGACCCAACCTGCCCCAAGGCTGGCCAGGCTCCACACTCACGACTTACTTTGCATTTCTTGCTTCCGTTTCTCCAGCTCCATCTCTGCAATTTCGCTCAGCAAAGTGATCCCTTGCAGGAAGGAGTGCTCCAAGGCCTGGTCAGGTAACACCTCCACCTTCATCTGGGATGGAGTGACACTGGTCGTAGTCAACAAGGAACAAGCTTGAGGCATTTCTGTGGCAGCCACCAAAGCATTCATCCCAGCCAGCGGGTCGCCTGGCTTGATGTCCAGAGCTGGGATTTGGCAAGAGATTGCCTCTTCCGTGTAGGAAGGGACCTCTGGCCCCTGCTCCCCCTCCTCAGGTGGCAGGTTGGGAAACTCCCTCCCCCGGGGCACATCGGCACTCTGCAGATCCATGGCTACAGAGGCCTCCTCCCGCTGGGGCGTCAAGTCCATCTCAGGCGGCTCGTTCTCCGCGTGCACAAGCGAACCGTCATAGTCCATGTGCATGGAGCAGGTTTCCGCTCCACTCCCAGTCTCTGCTGGAGCCTCTGCTTCTGCAGGGCAGGCCACAACCTGGTAAGGAGGTGGGCAGCTCTGGAGGTCTTCCTGGTCCTGCTCCATAGCACCCAGGGCTTCGCCTTGATGCAGAAGGAGATTGCAACTGTCCACGTTCTGCACTGGGACGGCTGCAGAGGTGGTGATGTTCAGAGCCCCCATGTCCTGCTCACAGATGCCTTCTTGGCTTTCCTCCATCTGCACCTCTGACTTCACCCTCTCTTCCAAGGACTCCTCTTCTGCTGTTGCTTGGATGGGCTCTAGCATTTTGGACGGAGACAGGTGGATGGGCTTGACCTCTGGGGAAAGCTCCATGTGCTCAGAGCCTTCAGCAGGCAGCGGGACGTCAGGAGCCAGGCCATCTGCATCAGATGCTGCAGTGGGCTGGAGGAGGTAGGGATAGTGTCTTCCAAAGGAGGGAGGGAGGGACTGGAACGGATATCCTGGGGGGATCTCTGCAAGATATCAGAGGAGACAGGCTGTGTAATAGCTGGGCCTCCAAAGCACCTTCTTTCTCACTAAGGCACAGAGATGGGTTCCCTTTGCTTCCATCATCTCTCATCTCTTCTTACTCTTAAGCAGTAGCTCCTTTGGGCACCTCTCTCCCGGTCAAGCTGCACCCCAGAGGTCCCTTCTGCACCCCTGAGGCACTCTCCTGCAACTGGAGAGAGATCTACCTCTTGCACCCTTCTGCCACCAAGACTTCAGCCGTGGAGGAACCAACCCAGGCTTGACCCAAGGGAAGAAGACAGCCTATAGCCCCAGGTGCCCCTATGACCCAGGTATCGATCCCAGTCCATCACACCACCCCTGGTCCTTGCCTCTCCCCTGACTTTTAGAGGAGCTACGTGGTTTTCTCCAGGGGAAGGGATGAAAGCAGGAAAGAGCCAAGGAGAAAAAGGGAGGCAGGCACAAACACAACGGGACTCTGCCAAAGCAGGGCTCTCTTACCTGGGAACAAGGCCTGGTAGGGACCGGCAGCCTCTTTTTCCAGCTCCAGCTCTTTCTTCTCCACAGTCTCGGGCGCCTCTTCCTTTGGAGGGATGGCAGGGGCAGGGGGTGGAGAGGCAGGGGGCGGGCTGGAAGGATGGGAGCTGGGGGTGGCGGGGTAGGAGTAGGCTGGCTGCGAAGGTGGCTCCTCCATCTTTTGGATCACCTCAGCTTTGAGCACAGACACGGGTGAGGCCCTGGGAGAGAGGGGAGGTGGACTCACAGCCTTGCTGTAGGACGTGGAGGCGCTGGGAGACAGCACAGGTGGTTTTCGGTGCACCAGTCCTGAGGCAGAGGAGGAAAGGCCTGATTTGGCACTGTCCAAGCTCCGTTTCGTCACCTTCTCTTCCATATCCGCACGCTGCTCGTTCGCCTTCAACCTCTCCTGCACCAAGAATAGAGCAAAACTCAGCACAACATCTCTACCTGCTCCTGGAAAGCAGCACAGACCTACCACTAGGAAAGACCAAAACATGGTCTTATGCAATATGCACTGGAAAAAAACACACCCAGTGCAACACCATTTTAAGACCAGTTTGATGTACGGTGACACTGATCTGTGACAGCTTTCTTTACAAATTCCCAGCTCCAGGAGTCACGTGAAGGGTTTTTCAGCTTCCACTTGCAACCAAAGCAAACCATTCCTACTTCTAAGCCTCTAGCCTAGCAAGCACACATGTAAAGCAAAGGCTGAAAACCAGATGACCACTGTAAAAATTAAATGGATGTAAAACACCCAAATGAAAGCTCACGACTTCCAAAATGTTTGGTGAATGGGAGCTGGCTCCAGGACCCAGTGTGACTGCTGCCAATACTGCAGCTGCTTCTCTGAGCCACTCAGGAGGTCTGTTTGGTGGTAATCAGAGGTGAAACCACCCAACTAAGGAGAGACATCCCTAGGGAAGGAATCAAGGTCGCGCTGCTGCTGGGCAGCTCTGCTGACAGCACTGCTCAACGGCTCTACACCAAACCCCTCCAAAACCCACCCTAACTGTGCAGGGTGCACTGAACGCCTCATATCCCAGGGACCAGGGCAGGATCACTCAATGCATCCATACCTTTGAGACACACTTGCAGCACAGGCACAGCTGTTTTTTTCCCGCAGACATTGCAACTTCAGGCTCACTTCACACCCAAGCAAGCAAGAAGCTCTTGAAAACATACCACAAGCTGGGCACTCCTCTGTAGCTCCATGGCGTGGGCCGCTTGCTGCTGCAGGATGTACAGCTCGTGCTGCCGTAGCAGCTGCTGATGAGAGAGGAGCTGGAGCTGGTGAGCGTGCTGGAGGGAGCTCCTGGTCGGGGGGTACATGGCAGGCCACAGTGGGGGTGCCCGGTCCATTAACTCCGCTGGGGAATGAGCAGAGATGCAGTCAGGGAGGCAGGAGGATGGGAATGGCTAGAGGATTCAGGGTTGCTCAGGGCAAGTGCCTCAGTCCCAGAGCCTGGGGGATGCCAAACACCGGGCTATGCAGAAACACAACCAGAAATGCAGAGGGGAAGGCATGCTGTCTTCCCCTCGTCAGCCCCACTCCCACCGCCCCAGGAGTCCTGGGGCTGTCTGACTTGCTTTGCTCTCTAGACACTCTTGGTTTGACTGTTCCTGGCTGAGCCCACGAGTAGATTCTCCTAACCAAGGACTGTGGGCTCCTGCAGGGGATGAAGAGCCACTGCTAAAGATTACACGTTTCCATCTCCGAAACACACCTAACAAGAGGCCAGCTCAGGCCCACCCTAGAGCTGGGGCTGCTGGTCCCCACGGGTGTGTACACTCCTATCTAGCTCTCTCCAAAGCCTGCTTCCTCCACAGCTGTCAAAGCACGCTCCTCAGGGACCTGCTCACATCCTTACCGAAGTGTGGCAAGTGCTCGCTGGGGATCACCACAAGCTGCCCCGACTGTGGGTCTCTGGCAAACTGGTAGGCGGAAGGGAGAGCTCCCCCCATGGCAGGGGGGAAGCCTGGAGTCATGCCTTGGTGCAGGGAAGGGTGACCAAGTCCTGGAAGAAGAAATACCACAGTCACAACTCAGACTATTCAAGCAGCTCCTACCCACGTGAGAAGTCATCTACCCTTTGACTGCTCCAAAATACCACCTTCCTTTTCCCCTGTGATCAGACAGCAGCCTCGCCGGCACTGAGCGACGCCTCTCCCTGGACTGCATTGGTGTGGACACCCCACGGACATTGCTCCCTCCCGGGGCACTCACCATAGGGGTGGCCAGCCAGCCACATGGAGGGGCTCCCCGTCCTGGGGAGCCAGGGGTGGGCAGCCAAGTGCGAAGCCGGGTCTGCAGACCAGCGCCCGGAGCCCGTCAAGGCTGGGCCTCCCGTCACCATGAGGTTGGAGTTCAAACCGTTCGTGGCACAGCCGGACGGGTGTATCCGGGCAAAATCTGCCAGCTCCTTGCTCTCTCTGGTGATGGAGGAAGCAAGAGAGAGAGTGAGAGAGGGTCTGAGTGCTGCAGGTTACTGCGCAGCTGGAGGAGCCCAGGGGTAGGGACTAGTCTGCAGAACGAGTGTGTTCGCCAACCAGGGTCAGACACCCAGGTAGAGCTGTGATGGGTGTAGTTAACATCAAGTCCAGAACAAAACATCCCGCCTCCCCACCCCTTTGGAGCAGGCATGGGTTGGCAGCAGTCTATCAGGATTGCTCTGCTGCAGATTCAGGATCTGTCTATAACCCCACGGTACCCCACCCAGCGCTCCTCACCACACCAGCAAGGCTGGTGCCAGCAGCTACAGCTGGATGAATGAAACCCTGTCCCCTCTCTGGACAGGCTGTCCCCAAGCACAGCCTGTGGCACTGTGGCAAGAGACCCCATCTCCCTCCAACCCTCACCTGAGCAGCTTCTCCTGATCCCGTTCCAAGCGCCCTGCCAGGAGGTGGCTGTCCCGGTGGCGGCTCCTCTCGTCCCCACAATCATCTTCTGACCGTCCGTGCCCTAAGAGACAACCCAGCACCATCAGACACGAGAAACACTTTGGGGAAAGCTGTCCCCTCTCCGGTGGGTGTGGAGAGGCAGTACCCTGGGAGCCAGCACACCCAAAGGCCACTGTCCCCAAGACTGTATCAGGTTCAAGTCCTAAAAGACTGGGCAAGACTGTCAATGAGATCAAGATAGTCTCACTAAGGCAACTCTTAGTAGCACTCAGGTGTACGTGGTTTGAGGCTCGTGTCTCCAAGCCATCAAGGGACCCACTCGCCAGGCCAGGCCACTCTCCCAGGACAGGACAGCCACCAGCCTGGGAGGAACAGGACCAACAGGGCCATTTTTGCTGAAGAACAGTGGCAGATTTCCCATCTCAAAAGGAGATGAGGCCCAGCTAAATCCTTGCATCAAACCACACAGTCCTGCTTAGCACATCTTGCAGGTGGGGGATTTTATCTCTGCACCTTCTGCTCTTGTAAACCAAGCTGGGAGCACTAGGTGTGCTCCGAATCCCTGCCCTTCTGCAACAGGCTGAACCAACACTACGGACCCTCACAAAACCAGCATGCTCCGCTCTGCAATTCAACCCATTAGCGGGAACCGGCATCCCCCCACCCGAGCCATGCAACATGAAAGGGGCTGGCAAGGCAGGGACACATATGGTAGATGAGGGCAAGAGTCCAAAAAGAGGGGCTGGATGTTTGGCTGGAGAAACAGCTTGTCCAAAATCAGAACAGATCTCGCAAATACAGCCTGGCACGGTAGCAGCCACGTCTGCGAGAGGTTAGGGAGCGAACGGCAGCGCCTCACTAGGCCCTGCCAGAACCAGGTACTGGGGACACCTTCCCTTACTTTATCCAAGGCCTCCACCCCAGCTGCCTGATTTTAAGCTTGCTTTTCCCTGTTTTTTTCCCTAGCTTCTTTCTTGCATATGCACTTTTTCCCCAACTCCCTGTTGCCTCTCTCCATGTTAAGCTTTGGCGATATGATCCGCTCCCGTATCCCAGCCCTGCTTGCAGCGAGCAGCTGGACGGTCTAACAGGGCCAAGAGGAAGGTGTTTGCTTCCCCCCCCCCAAGCCCCCTGCCAGCACATCCCGTGCCTGGGCGATGCTCTGCACCCCACAGGGCTCAGCGGCGCAGCACGGCCTCGCATGGCTGCACCCTGGCTCCCCAGCAGCCCTTCCCAAGGTCCTCCCTCTCCGTCTCGATAAGGTTTGGCACACAGGCAAGCATCTCGGAACATCAAGTCTATTCTGCTGACAGGCAGTCTCTTCAAGGAGGGCTCCACTGTGTATTTCCACAAACCTGGACAGCCCATGGGTTTTTTGCTGTCAAGTCTCCAGTTCCCTCAGCTTTTACTGTCAGAAGGAATCCAGGAACAAGACAACATCTCTCCTGGCTCCCAAGGCTCCTTCCATGGGCTTCAGGCAGAAAGCAAAGATGCTTTAAAACCAGGCACATACCTCTCCCTCCCAGAGGACTTCCCAGGGTCACCACATTGCCCTTGCAGCCCGCCAGGACACCACGTGCAGTGGCTGTCCCCAGTCGGCCCCTCCTCGACTCACTGAACGATGCCCCCCGCAGCCTCCATTGCTCAGTTTTACTACCCAGCCTCCACGGCACGAGGCACAGGGGCTCACGAATCCCTCCAGAGTCCCAGCACCCCTCCCTGCCTCTCCACCAGCATCCCCACTCGCCCACAAATCCCCTTCCACCCCCTAGCCCAGGTTTTCCCCCCCTTGGAGTCCCTTTTCCTCTTTATTTTCCCCAATCAATGCCTAACTGCCTCTTTGGTGTCAGCAATTCGGAGCAAGCCCTGGGTTAACTTGCAACCTGCCTCCCTTCCTTGGCACAAGGTGAGCTGACACCCACCCCCAGCCTTTTATTAGAAACATATTATTTTGTTATTTTATCTCTGCTCCTCCCTCTCCCATCTACGTTACTTGCGCTTCGCTATTTATAGATGGGCTTATCATCTTCTTCTCATCCCTCACCCAAACACACGCACTTTCTTATTCCTCTAACTCCTGCCTAGCCCCCACCCTGCCGACAGGACGGTCCCTTTTCTGTACAGACCGATGATTGTCCAGACAGTGAATGATCATTTTGTCTATATATATGAACATGACGCACGGACCGCATAGAAAAATTCAATCAGTTATGCATGGAGGAAAGGCTTAGGTCCGTTTCCTTGACAACCAATGCCCAGCACTAAATACTTGCATTTTACTTGCCAAATACTACAGATTAGCCAACTAAAGCCTGCTTTCTCCTTCTTAAAAGGTCTAAACATTCAAGCACCGTCCACTCAGCGCAAGCAAGCTAATGTTATTAGACGAATATCTCCTGGCACACAAAGGGGGGGCAGCATTTGGGGGGCGTGAGGAGGAGAAAAGCAGTCTTGTTTTCTGTCTGAAAGCCAACTGCATCACTTAGCAACGAGCCCGGAGGCCTGCCAGAATTCAACCCTTGTTTGCATCCTTTTAGTTCGGCTCAGTAAATTACATTTAACGCAAGCTGGGAGGGTCTGGGACGACTGAACGGCTGAACAAACAGCTCCCTGTGCTGCCCACGAGGTCCTTGGTCGGCTCCCGCCCGGCCGTGGGGAGGGCGATGGGAGGTGATGGGAACAGGGAGAAGGGCTGCTGGTTGAGAGAAACTGCCCCTCGCTGCTGAGGTCTGGAAGAGGGGGGCAAAGGCAGAAAAATGGGAAAGGCGAAGGCTAAAAATGGAAAGGCAACCATTCCTCGCCGGCCGCTTGCTTTGGCATCGCTCCTTGGCATGCCAGAGCCAAGCTCTCGCTGTGCTGAGCAGCCCGCAGGCGTTATCTTGCTACGCACGCCAAGCAGAGCACCAAAAAATCCGCTGGAGCCATCCCCCTCCTGCCAGCACCATGGCTTACATCAAAACCATGAGATAAAAACACCAGCACAAAGGTGGATTAAGGGGTTTCTCTGTCACTCCCTTTGCTAACGGGGATCAAACACACGGAGAGGAGTTGTCCTCAGAGTTGGAAAGAGGGGACTGTAGGAGGGAAAGGGGACTCCCTCTTGCTCCCCACTGTGGTTTCCAATGTGCCCTTGGCTGGGAAGGAGGGGCAAGGGGAGCTGAGGATGCCAAACTTAGCTCACGCCACATAGCCTACACTGGGTGGCTGCTCTTCCCAGGGAACAGATCCTGCAGGGATCTCCTGAGACAGGTCTGGAGAACCTACCTTTGATGCTGCTGAGAGACAGTGAGCGATCCCGGTCTGCCAAGCTGGGCCCCAGTTTGCTGCTGCTGCTGCTGCTGTTGTCCTTCTGCCGGGCCACAGCCACAGCAATGCCGACGGGCAAGTGCCTCACCTCCACCTCGCCTTGGGAGCCGATGCTCTCACGGCCAAAGGATTTGGCACTCTCAGGTCTCTCGGGGTCCCTCTTCAGCTGCTTCGCTGGCTGCTGCAACAGCAGCTGCTGCACTTTGGAGGCACCCAGCTGCGAAGAGTCCAACTTCACGTTGCCCAAGCCACCGAAGGGGCTCTTCTTGCCGCAGCTCTGCCGGGACGTGGTCTCCTTGGCAAAGCTGCCGCTGTACTTGATGAGGCTCTGCATGGCCGACCCTTCGCCGTGGGAGGCGGGGTGGAGGACGTCCGCAGCGCCCCGCGAGCCCACCACCGAGGACCGTGGCAAGCCACTGGGGTCAAGATAGACCTTCTTGGCTTCCTCCTCCACCCGGGTGACGTGGTTGTGCTGCGCAGCCAGCACCGCCATCTGCGTGGTGGCAAAGTTGCCCATCTCAAAGGGTTTCCACTTCTGCTCAGGTGGTTTCAGCTGACCGTGGTCCAGGTGCTGCCGGGAGGAGTCCAAAGTGCCATAGACCTTCGCCGCTTCTTTGGAGCTGGTTCGCTGGAAGCGTTCCCGCTCACAGGGGCGATGCTCTGCCTCCGGACTCGGCTTCAGCAAGTCTTTGGAGGCCAGGAACTCCCTGCTCTCCGGAGAGCCCAGCCCCGGCCTGTTGAGGAAGGGCTCCGAAGTGACCTGTCTCTTCAGCGCCATGGAGTTGGCCCTGATCACCGAGCCTTTCTCCCTCAGAGCCTCCATCCTTTTGGCATCGCTGTGGCAAGAAAAGTCCTGGGACAAGAGCGTGCGGGAGGTGTCCGTGAGGCACCGTTCCGTGGGCGACTGCAGCACCCCCACCTTGCCGAGGTCCTTGTCCTTCACCTTGTTGTCGCGGGCCTGCGAGGCGATTTGGATGGGCCCGCTCCTCTCGTCGTAGGCTTCGACCGAAGGCACGAAGGTGGGGGCGATGACTTTGTGCTCCCTGCCCAGCTCCTTGGCCGGTGGGAAGATGGTGTACATGCTGGAATGGACGGGCTGCGGAGGGAATGTCGTGGCCGGCGCCATCTTCCCCGGCTGCGAGGGATGCGGGGACGGGCAGCTGCAGGAGACGTGCAAAGCACCCACAGAGGGCAGGAGGGGCTCCCCCCGCTTCAGCCGCTCGGCGTGGGCGTGCGCAGAAGGCCTCATGTTCTCATCGTGCCGAGCGGGATCCTTGGCACAACGGTCCTGCTCGGCACCCAGGACCTTCAGCATCGGGTCCCCGCCACCGTTGCAGTTGCTGAGCGAAGAGCTCTGCAGGGGGTTCTTGGACTTGGGTTCCCCGCTGCTCGTGCCCCGATTTGGCATGTGCTCAGCCAGGAACGGCGAGAGACGCTCGCCGACCTTCACCGCCTTCTCCACCACGCTCACTTTCCGGTCGCTGTCGGGCTTGGTGTCCTGCGTGAGGTCTACCACGCTGCGGGGCCGGGGCTCCTCCTTCGGTTTGCCCTCCTTCTTGGCAAAGGGCAGGGACAGATCGCTCCGGCATGCCCTCTCCTTCCCGCTGGGGTCTTTCAGGCCTTCTTTCGAGCTCTTGTGCAGCTGCCCAAGGTCCTTCTCCCGGAGCAAAGTGCTCGACGTGTGGTTGCCTGCGGTCCTCGAGAGGGGAGGCTGTGGGTGCAAAGCGGACTGGCCTGCATGGCCGGACAGGTAGAACCCATCTGCAGAGCAAAAGCAAACAAAATTACCTTGGGCCTCCAATCCCTTCAGTCCTACACAGAGACAAGCAAGAGGTGGCAAACCGGGAGGGAACAGGTTGCAAGGGTGTCTCAGACACGGCCAGGAAGAACTGGGGCAGAGGAGACCAGGCAGGTACCTCCACGTGGCCCAGGCGGGATGCAGGACAGCACACTGAGCCTGGCGATGCGGCAGCGCATGGGGGCTTCAAGGAGGGACCTGGCCAGGCTCCCTACAGCACAGCCACATCCAAGACCTTGGTACTGCTAAGACTAGGAAACGTCCCTGGATAATAACCCCAGGGATTTCCTGCTCTTCACCCTCCACATCTCAGCATCCAGCAGCCAAGCAAACCCCAAAGACAGGACGAGCACCCAGGGGTGACCAAGGGGAAGGGTGCGCGGGGAGCCAGACTCACCTTTCTGTGACTCAAAGAGGCTGTGCTGACCCAGCTGGGCCAGGAGGGGACTGCCGGCGCTGGGTGGCTCGAGGTGGCTCAGGGGAATGTACGACGGGTAGAGGCCGTTAGGCAGATGGGAAAAGCCTGCAGAAAATGGGAAACAGAAGAGGGAAACATGTTTCAGCCCAAGCGGCACGCCGCCTTGGAATGAGCCCCGCAGGAGCACAGACTGTTGTGGCTGTCGGTCCTTCACGCGCCAAGAGCGGCGGCTTGCGAGGACGCACGCGGCAACACACACCACATACAGCCCACGGTGGGGAGCGCTGCTCGGGGCCCCCGCTTCGGGTACTGTCCCCCCACTGCGGGTCCCCCCAGCTGGCTCCTTGCACCTCTGTGGGGCTCCGACTTCGCAGCCGGCGGGCCGCAAAGGGAGCGTGCTGCCTTCTGAGCAGAGCCTTCCATCTGCAAGCTAAACAACCAAACCACCTGGCCGATAAGCTGTTTTATCACAAGTACGGTGACCTGTGGGTGAGGGCACTCCCCAAAACGCTTCCCGAGCAGCGATAAGGCCCTCTTTGCCAGCACAGCTTTGCCAACACAGCCCGTCCCCGCTGCAGCTGCTCAGCACCAGGTACGGGCTTTGGGAAAACGTGAGAGCACCTTCCACGGCAGCTTACACAAAGCATAGTTCCACGTATCCAAAACCAGCACCTTATCCTGGAGGAAGGCAAAACGGAGCAGAAAACCTGCCACCCATCCACGAGCTGATACAAAAGCAATGTGGCCCCAAGGCCCCGCTGCCAGCGGTCTGGATTATGTCCTGGACGCTGGGGCTTCCTCCAGGAGTGGGCCCCCCAGCAATGTCCTCATGTAAATAATCATCATCAGCGTTTCACCAGTGAATATGATCACCATAACAGTGGTAGTGACACAAGCTCTCAGCTACAGGCGGCAATTCCTCTACAACACTGCCACCAAACGGCACCCGTGCAATACTACAAACCCCAACGCTCTGCGAGAACCAGCATCCCCGTTGGTGCCATCGTTTAAAAAAACGAGTAAAAGCCATCGGGAGAGTCTGAAGGAGCCAGTCAAGCCCTCTGCAACCCTCCTCCCTTCCCCTCAGACCCCGCTAGCCACCAACTTCCCCAAAATTCCAACGATCCCACTGAAAGCAACCAAGCAACAAGTTTGTCTAAAGTCCAGCATCCAAGTGGATCAAAACAACATCACAGCAACACCCAAGAGGAGCCAGAGAGGTTCAGTCCCCGGAGCTGCACGTGGAGCACCATCTGCGAGAGCTAGTCAATATTTCACATTATTTAGACAGCCAGGATCTCTTTCGCATACATGTTTGCATCCCGGCATATGTGCTTCACCGACGCGGTGCTCCGCACAGCTCCTGGCCCAGGTCCATCACCCGACAGCTCCCAGCGGCATCACCCGCACACGCCAACCTTCCAGCGGCAGGACCAGGGGAGCTGCTGTGCCCATGAAGTTCAACGCAGAGCCCATTCCCAGCAGGTAAACCTTGCTATTTAATCCTGTGCAGGGTGCTGTAAAGGCACTGAGCACACACATACATTCACACCTCTCCCTGGGAACCCCAAAACCTTCACATTAGAGCATTTCCAAACATATTTTCTTATTCCAGGGCTGGAGAGCGCTGGGTAGCACCCAGCAGCACCAACCCTGGCTTAGCTGTGAGCAGCTCCACTCCACAGCATGGTTGCCTCAGCCATGCCACCTCCACTGCGCTGCTCCGGCACGGCTGGGCTGGTGACGGGCTTGGCTGGTGACGAGCCAGAGTCGGGAGCAGGAGCGACACCTTTCCGAGGGAACGAGAGTCCCATCTGGCAGAGCATATGGTTGCAGCACGGCAAACCCCCTGGAGCACCCCCTGACACACCAGCCTGGCAGCCCCAGCCCCACACATCCCCACGTGAGCCCCTCCTTCCAGCCAGACCTCGATCCCCACTGCAGCCGCTCCAGCAGGCGAGAGTACCAGCATGGAGTTCACAGCGACACACATCCCACGCTGCAGACGCTGCCATGTGAAGATGCCCATGGCAAGTCCCACTTGCACGTGGTGCAAAGACATGAAGCCACCTGCAGAGCTCCAGAAAGGGGATACGATCCAGCCCTGCCATCCAGCACAGGGACACGTGCACACAGCTTAAGCTACTGGTACTCAAAGAGGCATATTGGTACCAGTTACATTCCTGGTCCTACTGGGGCAGCTCCCTGCCTGCCATGTCTTATCCTACCCAACGATAACACAGGGTCAGCTCCAGCCCTACATGCTCTGGGGCTTCCTCTGCAATCAGCATCATCACACCCCGCCACAGGGATCCAGCCTCAGCCTGGGGCTGCAGGAGGAGGAGTGGGAAGGTCGGCCGAAAGAACGACAGGATGAGGAACTGTGGGATGACGGTGGCCGAAGGGCAGATGAAATCCCCTCCAACCGCCCAGCATATAAGACAAGCCGTCACAGAGGTTTTCTAGGCACTGTGCTGAAGCAGAGTGGCAACAAGTGGCCTCACTCCAGTCCGAGGTGGGGACGGGTTCACGACGCTGCAGGGCAGTGTCACCTGGCTGATGCCATCAGCGAGGCCCCAAAGCCACCTCGCACCGGGCAACCCTCCCCAGTGCCTCCCGTGAGCCACGGCAGCAGCACTGCTCCTGAGAGAGGCATAAGTCCAGCACGGGGGCTCAAGGCACATCCCAACACTTTGCAGGTAGAGAAACTGAGGCACGGGCAGATGCAAAGACTTGCCTGCGTCACCCAGCTGACCAGCAGCAAAACCAGAGAGTCGCCTGAACTCCAGCCTCAGGTTTACCAGCGACACTGATTTCCCTTGCCAAGTGCCCAGAGAAGCTGCCCAGCCTGTATTTACCTGGTCTGTTCCCTGCCAGGAACTACAGCCAGGGCAGGGAGGAGGGATCCGAGCCACAGCCTTCCTGGGTATGAACCCGATGCAAACCCAACCTCAAGGCACTGCCAGAGCATTCCGTCCTCCGTACAGCCCTCCAGCAGCAATGCCGACGGGCTGGTGTAGGACTCACAGGCAGTCCAAAACTTCCTGCCCTGCTCCCCCAGGCAGGACCTGGAGGTGAAGCTGCTCCTCCGTGCACTAAGTAGCTGCATTTGCAGGAGGCAGCCGCGGGCAAGTCGCTCCCTTCCTTGGATCTGCGTGCCAGAAAGCGATGCCAAGGGGAGAAACTCTACCGCAGTGAGCAACGCACAGCTCACCCCAACCATGGGCTTCTGCCAGGAGAAAGGGAGGGGAAAGGGGGAAACCACAACCATCTCCATCTGCCCGGGGCCAGAGCGTTTGCTGAACCAGCGCAAGATCCGCTTCGCCCAGGGACACGCCGACAGGTCTCAGCAGGCTGAGCCACGCTCCTCCAGCCGACTGCTGGCCCAGAGGCGGGCTGGCACCACTGCGTAGGCAGGGAGGTGCGAGTTGGCAGCGCTGCCAGCACCAGGCCAGCTCTGCCGCACCTTCCCTTCCCCACCACACCACGCCAAACGCGCGTGCCCATCGCTACGGCCTCTGGCCGCCTGGGAAAAGTACCACCAACAGGAATCTCACGGGAGCGCTTGGCCAGCATGGGCACAATGCAAAGCAGCCCGACTCGGAGGGTAAAAGGGTTTAAGGGGCACAGGGATCGTCCCTCAAGCCACCTTAACCCTGCAGCCCTGCAGGAAGATGACAGCCAGCAGCCAAAATGCGCATCCCTGCTCAGCTCCCCCTGTGATGCTCCAGCGGGTGTAGTGGATGGGCATGGAGGGGGGATGCACACCCATCCCCCTCCTTCCCAGCTCCAAGATGATAAAACGTACCTGCTCTGCACGATTGAGACATAAATCACTAAGGGCTGTTATTAGAGGAACTTGGCGGCTGCAGATGTGTCAACCCAGTTGAAAACATCTTCATCTTCGCTCAGCCCTCCAAAATGGCATGGGGCGGGGCAGGGGAAGAGGTATGGCCGGGTGACTCACCACCGAGAGGGGATGTGACTGATGGGGAGATGAGATACCAGCAACCGCATAAACCGCACACCAAACGTCTGGAGGCCGGAGGTCGCGCTGGGGGAAGCAGGAGGGAAACGGGCCCCACGTGCTCAGCCCGCTCGGGGTTTGCCCAAAGCTCCCCGGGAGGAGGGAGCCACCAGAAAACATCACCTGGCCGAGGTGGCAAAGGCGTGTGGACGTGCCCGCAGCAAAGTGGGCTGCTGCATGCCGCTGGTCACCCAGTTTTTAACCTGCGGGCTCTCTCCATCTCGGCCCCCAGGCCTGAAATTCAGCCTCAGCTGGATGAGTTGGCCAAGCCTGGGTTGTGAAAGAGCCAGGCGGGAGGGGGACATGCTCGAGGGGACACGCTGGAGCTGATCGCCATCTCCCCCGCGGACACGGCTCCGGCCGATGAGCCAGCCTACACGCCTGATGTGTGTGTGTGCCAGCACTGGGGAAGCTGCTCCGCCCCAGCCCGGCTGCAGGCGACCGGCTGGCACCTTCACAGCATCCCCATGCTGGCTGCCGACCCGGCACAGAGGTGACAGCTCACCTGGGCACCCAGGAAGGGTCAAGGACAGCAAGCGGGAGCGACACAGAGACACCGCTCAATGGGGAATTCACTCTCCTGGTCCGGCTCTGTGTTTCCCAAACCAGCCGGCAGCACCGATGCACCAGGGAGAAGGAGCATCCACAAAGCCTCTGCTCATGCCCCGGGATGGCTCTCCGGTCCCTGCCGTCACCTCAAAGGGAATCACACAACAGGACGCAGCTGCGTGATAGCCCTGGTGGCCTGGATGGGCAAGTAGGCAGCCACGTGCGATGCCAGCTGCAAAGCACCCCCCGAAGCCGAGCCCCGGGCACAAGCCATCTTTGTCGGAGAAGCCACACAGCACCGTTACTGGAAGACTGGCAGCCTCTGGCGCCCTGGGAGAAGTGAAGTAACTCTCCCCCATCGGCCCCATCTGCCTGTTACAGGTTTCTGCCACTTATGAAATATTTCCAACCGCCAGCATCTCGCCCCATCCTCCCCGGGGCTGTGATGGACGGACACACTGCCAGGAAGCAGGCTGGCACCACGCAGCACTGTGCAAGGGGCTGTGGCCACAGAGGGGTCTCAGGCAAA